CTCCGACTCTGCCTGTGGACAAGCCAAGCGCAGCCCTCAGAGCGCGGGCCTGCCCCGAGGCCCCGGTGCAGGGGGGGGGCGTCACAGCAGTGGCTTCGTCTGTGATGACGCTGGTCTTGGGGACACGTCCGTGCCGCTACCCAGTCACCGCTTACAAGAGCCCCCTGGGAAAACGCCCTGCTCTTGGGCGCAGCGTAGGGGCCACTGGCCTGTTCTCACTCACGGCCCTGTCACAGCTCGGGTTGAGGACGTGTCCATCTCTCTGGCCACCAGGAAGCCAGAGCCGAACCATGTCGCCACTCAGTGGGGTCTGGTGACACAGGTCCCAGGTACAGAGTCCACCCCGCTCCACCTCACTGCTCTTGTCCCGATCCATCTACTTCAACGTGCTGCACGCATATGTTTCTCTAAGTGCCTTCTAAAACAGCCTTTGAGGGACGAGCAGGGGACACACAAGGAAACGAAATATTGAAGAGATAAGATTTCCCAAAGTGACATGTGAGCACTCCGAGCCCCCAGCTCCTGGGGTCGGGGCTCCCCAGGCGCATACCCTGCAGGGTCTCCAGGTGCTCCAGCCTGCGCTCCGCGTGGTCCCGCATGGCCCTCCCAACCTGCTGGTTGTACGCCTGCACCAGCCGACCGACGCCCGCGCTGGTCACGTACACGCTCTCCACGGCCGCCTCCAGCAGCGTCCTCTGTGGGAGGAGGGGAAGGACTGAGCAGGTCACACGCGGTCCCCACCTCCCCGGCCCTGGCCCTCCTCCTCCCCCCACTCCCAGCTTGGACCGTGCAGGGAGCGGGCAGAGAGTGCGTGGTTGGTTTAAACCCGTTGATCGCATGGGGTGGGGCAAAAGTAGGTTTTCAGTCGTTCGTACAGAAAATATACAATAACTAGAGGCCCGGTGCATAGATTCGTGCACCGGTGGGGTCCCTCGGCCTGGCCTGCGCCCTCTCGCAATCCAGGACCCCTTGGGGGATGTAGTAGTGCGGGAAGTGCCAGGTGGCCAGGGAGGAGCCTGAGCCGGGGCCAGGCTCTCTGGGCGCTGCGCTGCTCCTGCTCCTCCCTGCCCCGCTGTGCCCGCCGCCGCTTGGTAGCGCTGCCACGGAGGCGGGAGAGGTGCTCGCCAGCCCTGAGCCCGGCGTCTGGCACCTGTGGGTCAGCTGAGCGATGCTCCTGCAGTGGGAGCGCACTGACCACCAGGGGGCAGCTCCTGGGTTGAGCACCTGCCCCCTGGTGGTCAGTACATGTCATAGCGACCAGTCAACTTGTTCGGTCATTTGGTCGCTTAGGGTTTTATATATATAGATTGCCTAGTTGGTGTGGCTCAGTGGTTGAGCATTGAGCATTGACCTATGAACCAGGAGGTCACGGTTCGATTCCTGGTCAGGGCACATGCCTGGGTTGTAGGCTCGATCCCCAGTGGGGGGTGTGCAGGAGGCAGCCAGTCAATGATTCTCTCTTATCATTGATGTTTCTATCTCTCTCTCCCTCTCCCTTCCTCTCGGAAATCAATAAAAATATATATAAAAAATGTATTTAAAGCAAAACAAAACAATCCTAAAAAAAAAGAAAATACGTAATAATTAGTAAATGATTAACACAAGAATGAACTCCGTGTTTCACGGACTCGCACCTGTGCCCCTACTCTTGCCCACCCTGTGTTATTTTCCGTGGTCGGGGATGGTCTCAGGCTGGTGTACGACCCTGGCCAATGAGATGTGCCATTAGGGAAGTCTGCTGGGGCAGGGCTTCCCTTTCCAGCGGCAGTAGAGACTTGGCCGCCGTCTTCCTCCCCCTTCCTGGGATGCAGCTGTGATGTCGGAGGATCGGTGGCCGTTCTGAGACCATGAGGCAACAAACTAACCCTAAGAATGCGGATCAGAAAGCAAGAACCTGGGCCTTGGTGCCATGCAGGGCCTCTGAGCCTGGGCCCGCCCGCCTCCACATGGCTCATTACGTGGGATGAGTGGCTCACTTATTTGCGTCATTTCAGTAGGACTCGGTGACGTGAGTTATATGCATCCCTCAGTGATACACCTTCTGACCCAAAGCAGGAAGGAGAGGAAATGCTGAGATGCCTGTGGCTAGAGACGTGGTGGCTGGGTGCCCGGTCCACCAGGGTTACCGGTTACCATCCTTCCACTTAAAATAATGGACACCCTCTGCAAGGCCATAGCTCCCGGGTGGGGATAGCAGGTGCAGCGCCCAGGAGGCCGCTCTGTCCAAGTCCGTCCCCTCGTCTGCCCCTGCCTCGCCTCCCCGCCCTGTCCCCATCCTTCTTGCCCTTGCGTTTCCCAGGGATGGGGGTGGCACGCACCTTGAAGTCCTCCCTGTCCTTGATCCGGCTCCTGGTGGCGGCGGTCCGCGCGTGCCCCAGCAGTGCCTGCCCCACAGCCCGCTCCGTGTGCTGCTGCAGGAGCCGGCCCACCTCCTGCGCCTCGGCCAGGAGCTGCTGCTGCAGCTGCAGCCGCGTGAGCTGTGCCTCCTCCTCCAGCCGGCCGGTCTCCTCCAGCACGCGGGCCTCCTGGAAGGACAGGCAGGGAGAGGGAGGAGCCTCGCTGGGGCCCTGCAGGGATCGCATCTGCAGGACCAGGACGTGGGCTCGCCCTGCCCAGGGCCAGGAGGGTTGGGGAAGAGAAGGAGAAGGGCCGGAAAGTGGGGGCCTCGGGGCTTGCAAACCCCAGCACAGTGGGTGAGCAAGGTGTCTGCTGAAGGTACCTTCAACCCAAGGCATTCAGTGAGCATCAACTGCACGCCCAGTGCCATCACATACACAAGCACTTCCTCATCTTCCCGGACACTGTGAGCCTGAACGTCAGGCGTGATCAGGACACAGGCTCAGAGATGTTGAGTAACTTTCTAAAAGTCACACAGCAGATCTGGGTCTGGGAGGAATCTGGGACATCACTGAAGCCACAGCAGGGCATATGGGCCCTTGGGGACGGCTTTCCTCGTGAGAACACGAGTCAGAGAAGGAGGCGAGGGGCGTCAGGGGCAGAGCGGCCTGCTTCCCACGGAGCCTCCGGGGCAGTGAGAGTGAGCGTGGCCCTCACCAACGGGCCAGAAAACGCCAGCTGCTCCCATAGCCCAGCCCTGTAACTTACACATTCTTCCTTCGGATTGCTAAACCCTTCAGATGACAGGGTCCCCTTTTCCCAGGGATGACTGTGCCCATCCGTGCTCTGATTTCAAATGCACTTTCAGTACAATTCTCATTCGAGCATGCACTGGAGCCTTTGGGCAGCCCCCGGACAGGACGGCCATCACCCCCCCGCCCCCCACCCCGGGACCACGGGGAGGCAGAGCTGGGATTTGGCTACCATGCTACCATGCTGGAGCCTGGCTGGGACGGGCTAGGGCCGCGCCGCGGTCTCAGGGCCCTTGGGGACGGCTTTCCTCGTGAGAACACGAGTCAGAGAAGGAGGCGAGGGGCGTCAGGGGCAGAGCGGCCTGCTTCCCACGGAGCCTCCGGGGCAGTGAGAGTGAGCATGTTCCTCACCAACGGGCCAGAAAACGCCAGCTGCTCCCATAGCTCAGCCCTGTAACTTACACGTTCTTCCTTCGGATTGCTAAACCCTTCAGATGGCAGGGCCCCCCTTTCCCAGGGATGACTGTGCCCATCTGTGCCCTGATTTCAAATGCACTTTCAGTACAATTCTCATCTGAGCATGCACTGGAGCCTTTGGGCAGCCCCCAGACAGGGCGGCCATCACCCCCCTACCCCCGGGACCACGGGGAGGCAGAGCAGGGTTCTGGCCATCTGCACCAGGGCAGCCACGGCCTGGCCACGGAGAGCCAGCCTCCGGAGGGCGGAGCGCAGGAGCAGCTCGTGCCCCTGCAGCAGGCACCGTGCAGACCTGTGGGGAGAGTGGGTGGGCGGGGTCAGTGCTCGTGGCTTCTCTGCCTCGGGTGGTTACTCTTATGTGTCAGCTGCTCACACATTCTCTGGGGCAGCGGTTCTCAACCTGTGGGTCGCGACCCCTTTGGCGGTCGGACGACCCTTTCACAGGGGTCGCCTAAGACCATCCTGCATATCAGAGATTTACATTACGATTCATAACAGTAGCAACATTACAGTTATGAAGTAGCAACGAAAATAATTTTATGGTTGGGTCACAACAGGAGGAAC